CCATGTAAATACAGCCCCTGGCACCATTCACCATGGATGTACAGCCCCTGGCACCACCCACCACAGACATACAGCCCATGGAACCACTCACCATGTAAATACAGCCCCTGGCACCATTCACCATGGATGTACAGCCCCTGGCACCATCCACCATGGACATACAGCCCCTGGAACCACCCACTGTGGACATAGAGCCCATGGAACTACACACCAAGGACATACAGCCCCCGGCACCACCCACCATGGACATACAGCCCCTGGCACCATCCATCATGGACATACAGCCCCTGGCACCATCCATCATGGACATACAGCCCCTGGCACCACATACTAAGGATGTCCAATCCCTGGCACCACCTACCATGGACATATAGCCCCTGGCACCACCCACCATGGGTGTACAGCCCTGACACCAAGCACCACGCAAGCACCATGCATGCACAGCCCCTGGCGCCAAGATCTGTGGACTTAAGGCCCCTGGCACCACACATCATGGATGCACATCCCTGGCACCACCCACCATGGACATACAGCCCCTGGAAACACAAACCATGGATGTGCAGACCCTGGAAACACACACCATGGACATACAACCCCTGACACCATCCACCATGGACATACAGCCCTTGGAACCACCCACCATGGACATACAGCCCCTGGAACCACCCACCATGGACATACAGCCCTTGGAACGACCCCCTATGGACATATAGCCCCTGGCACCACACATCCTGAACATCCACCATCATATGCAGACCACAAACCTCCCATTCCCAGCAGGAGCTCAGCAGGGGAAGCTGAAGTTTGATCTCCCAGGGCCCGGCCGGCGGTGCCAGGGCCAAGCCAGGGGCTCTCTCCGCTCCGGACGGGTAATTTGAATGCAGCCCCGGGGCTCTGGAGTGAGGGACAAAACCCTCCTGCCGTGGCCGGGCTCCAGTGCGGGGGTTGGCTGCCACCCCCAGGGCGGCCAAGCGAGGAAGGCTTTTGTCATGGGCACCTTTTCTTCCCACCCCCAAGGCGCCGCGGCGGCGCGGGCAGCAGCCACGAAGCCCCGGGGAGGAAATCCAAGCGATAAAACTCCTCAGGAATGGGGCAGGCTGGGGTGAGCGGGTGTCTGCTCCCTTCCCGTGCCCATCCCTTGGCTGGACCAGCGTGCTGGCACCGGGAATGGGATGTGGAGAGGGTTAAACCTCTTTTCATCCTGCCCATGGGTGATGCCCTGAGGTCCCGGAGTCCCATGATGGTAAGAGACTCTCAACCATCAAATCTGGGGCTTGAGGTTGGATTTTTGGCCTGGTTTTTTTTTTTCTTTCTTCTTTTTTTCCACAGATGGAAAATCTTTTGACCCGCACGTCATGAGGGAAAAGCTGGGAGCAGGACTAGGGAAGGGCAGCCAAAAAGGTTGAAGAGGGGGAATGGCAGATGCTCAATTGTCTCTGAAACCTCAGAGCTCAGGAGATGCCAGAGGGTGTCAGAGACACAGGCATGCACGTGGCAGGGGTGGTTAACCTCCATTTCCTTGGGAAACCACGTGGAAAATGGAGCTGAAGTCTATTTTGGGACAGGAGCGATCTTTCTTTCTCCCCTGAGCTCGGCCCTCCTTTCGGAGGCGGCCCCTCGGACGTGGGGCCAGCAGGATTTGGGGCTGCAGCACCCGGTCCAGGGCGCGATGCTGCGAGGGCAGGGGGGTCCCTTCTCATCTCCGAAGGGGGGTTTTCTCCTCCGCAGCCCCTCGTCCCCTCCACGTGACGGTTACTCGTCCCGGCTCCCAAGGTGCCCTGCCAGCCCGCAGCGAGCCGGAGGAGGGGGGGAGCAGAGCGGTGGCTTTCCAGGGATGCTCAGCTGCAGAATGAGTCAGCAGCCGCCGGCACGGTCTGGCCCCGCTCCAGCCCCATCCCCGGCAATGCAAAGGGCTCCGGACACCCCGCTGCCGCCCCGGCTGCCGGGTGGACCCGCAGCCACGGTTCGCGTGTGGCTGCGCCCTGTCCGTCCATCCCCCCCTTCATCCCGCGGTGCTGCAAACTGGCGCTGCGGCCAGGATTCGTCCCCACCCCCGCGGGTGGGTGGGGTGCGACCCTCGGAGGGGTCCCCGGAGCGGGGCAGTGCCAAGGACATGCCAGCTCGGGGTACGCAGCGGGAAGAGCCCGGCAGCCTCTTGGCAGCAGCTGCTGGCAGAGCTTAAAGGGCCGGAAGCAGGTGGGGAGAACGGGGCGGGGAGAGGTCTCTCCAGCTGCCAGAACCCCCCACTTCCCCCCCACCCCACCCCAGCAGGGAGAAAGGGGCTCCTTGTTGCGGGGCTGGGCTGTGGGAAGGGAGGAGAGGAGTCCCTGGGGAGATGCGGTCCCGCACGGAGGGGTGGGGGCGGGAGCAGACCCCCCCCCAGGAACCCTCCAGGGACACGCGAGCATGTGCACCCCCCCGGTAAGTGTGTCACACACACACACGTGAAGGTTTGCACACCCATGCCCGCTCTGGTGGGGAAACTGAGGCACCAGGTGGGTCAGAAGCGGGGAGGTGGAGGATGGGGGTTGTCCCAGACTTCAGCGCTGCTGCTCAGCTGGGACCCAACCCCGCTGCCGCTCACCAGCAAAACTCGCATCTCCCCACTCCCAGTGCAAAATCACCCGATTTCCCAGTTTTCCCAGCCTAAATCCATTCCCTGAAAAGCAGACCTAAAGTGTCCCGATCGCCCTCTCCCTTTGCCCAGAAGCTGGAAAAGGCTCCGGGCTGGGGTAGAGGGACTTTCTCCCACCCCCTCCACGGCATCCAAAAGGAAGATCAACAGGTTCTGGGTTGGGCTGAGACGGGAGAATTCGGCGTGACGGGAGCAGCGCTCCCTGGCAGGGATGCTCAAGGGCAGCCCCTTCGTCCCGGGGACGAAATGCTCTGGCTGCGGGAGGGGAAGGGGATTGCGGCAAAAGGCCCCCACCTGGGGCACCCCACGGGGCACGTGGGGTTCGTACTGGGGCTGCTCGGTTCGGAAGAACAGGGAAAACCCTGAAAAATTTTCCCCCGGCCCCTCCTGTCCCCTTCACTGGGACAGAGCCGGAGATCGGAGCCGAGAGAGCTGGGGGAGGACGGGGAGACCCGGCGGTGCCCTACAGCCACCCCAAACCCTGTGCTCATCCCCAGCCCCGCCGGAACGGACAGCTTTGCCCCTAAACACCCCCCCGCCTCCACGGGGAGTAGCGACACGGCCGGGCAGGAGCGGCGGGAGCCGGACCCGTGCCCAGCTCCGTGCCTCAGTTTCCCTTTCCACTGCTGCCCTGGCTGCAGCCTCCTCGGGACCAGGACCCCACGGGAGACTCCGCAGGACAGACGGGGAGGGCTCCCCCGTGACGGGACACCCCAGACCCATCCTGGCTCCCTGGTCCCTCTCCCAAAACGAGGGTCCCGTGGGAGCAGCT